CGTTTTAAACTGACCAGTTCGACGCTGTGTTAAGATGGCACTGGAGCCGTTCATGGTCGTCCGGTCCTCTGATCCTTCGCCATATCTTGATATCATCAGCGAAGAATAGGAAATCGGGAGTAACTGATCTCACCAAATCGTTAATGAACACCAAGAATAGACGAGGTCCAAGAACCCAGCCTTGTGGTACTCCACACGCCACATCGATTGCATGAGAAACTGATTCTCGGACTCTCACCACTAGCCTTCGTTCTTGTAGAAAATTACCAAAGCAACTCAGGAGTGGGTCGCAAATGCCGTAATTCTGAAGCTTCTGAAGGAGAATCCGATGTTCTAAGCGCTTTCGAAAAGTCCAGGTAGATGACATCGACTCCTACTCCATCATCAACAGATTCAGTTCAGCTATTACGTGCAATTAATAGGTTAGTATTGCACGAATGCTTTTGACGAAAGCCATGTTGCTCTGGGGCTACTAAATTGTGGCTTCCTAGGTACTGCATCAGCGCGTCTGCGATGATTGATTCCATCACTTTGGATAGTACGGGAAGTAGTGTTATTGGACAGTAGTTGGCAGGATCAGTGCGGCTACCTCCTTTATGGATAGGAGTGATGACCCGTCGCTTCCATACTGGTGGAATACGGTTCTCTTCTAGACATTGCTGATATAAAACAGCCAGTGGTTCTGCTAGATCACTAGCTACCGCCTGTAGAGCCTTTGGTCGGATGTTGTCAGCTCCTGGAGAACTGTGGATACGCAAGGATAACAACTTCTTCAAAACAGCTTCCGCAGTGAAGGTGATGTTGTCTAAACCAGATGGTGGAGCAGTAGAAATGAGGAGAATGTTTGTGCTCGTTACCTGCTGGAACGTTTGGGAGTAATTAAGCCCTAGGAGATCGGCTGCTTCCATGGCTGGTCGCGTGCACCCATCAGCCCTGACTAGCGCTTGAACCCCTCGCTTTACCTTTCGAAGGCCGTTAACGTGCCTGCACAGGAGTTTGCGGTTCGTGCAGAATCGCTTCATTAACTTCTGCTGATGAGTGATCTTGTCTTCACGGATCAGTTTCACACAGAAGTTACGCTGCGTCACGTATGCAGTCTCGGTTTCGGCATTCGGGTAGTCCTTGTGAACTCGCCATGCCAAACCCCTCCGGGACATACATTTATGTGTTCAGCTCCTCAGAAATGACTTACGTTTGTTTTTAGGTTGCAAGGACTTCTGTTCTGATGCGTGCGCTACCAGTGTGCTAAACGTCCTTGTAAATGTTTCCCAGGCAACATCTGGGGGGCTTTCGGTTAAGGAAGTCCAAGACGTATCCTTAGCAAGCTTATACGACACAATGTAGTGTGTGACAGTATGCACTTTATCCACCTCTTTTCAGGGTACTCCGCATAACATATATACTCAATGAGTAGAGCAACATGATCACTAGGACCCAGTGGTGTGCTTGTAACTATCCCGCCAGCCATGAGTTCTTCGTTAGTTAGCACAAGATCCAGTGTCGACGACTTGTTATAAGTTCGATTTCTGGTGGGAGAGGTTACGTGATTGGAAAGAGGGTGGCTAGCAACAAGCTCTTGCAAGCAGGCTTTAAAATGCATACCGTCGGTTGCCGGCGTTTCTATGTCGTGCACGTTAAAGTCTCCAGCGATAAGAATGTGGGTGTAGGACTTGTTCAAAGCAAACTGAAAAACGTGGTTCAGTTTGGAGTCCATTTCCGATGTTGAGTATGGTGGGCGATAAATCACGGCTAGTAGATATGTATCCTTGTTTCGCAACCATAGGCAGCACCAAAGCGGAGTGTAGTTGGAGCTGTGCGTGGTGCATAGCAAGCCACCCATGGTCCTTCTGTAGGCCAGGCGCCCTGTGGCTGGCCAGAGTGACAGGCAAATCTGAAACCGGATGCCGTCAACCATATATATATATATATATATATATATATATATATATATATATATATATAGGCATTCAGGATCTCCCTGCTGTCAGCCAGTAACCGGTGCTTCCGGGAGAGGATTGTCAGCATCGATTAACACAAATAAGGAGTAAATACAGTGACGAAATCAAGCGTTTCACATTGGATATGCCGGCACTTAATTGTTCAGTGACTTGACTAGATTGACAATGTGGTTGAAGATTTTTAAGCACAAATTGAAGTAACTTCATCAGTGTGTTACAACAGGCTCCAATTTCAATTAAGACATCAGCATTAGAGTAGTCTACGCTCGGTCAGAATTGACTTAATACTGCATTTGAGGTTGCTTTTAGTAATGAATTATTCAGTAGGTATTCAGAACCTGGAATACACTTACCCAAACATTAAACGCTGTAGAAGTAACAAATGCATGATGTATACACTGATTGTAAGTGGTTGGAAGTGTGTCTATTGCAATTGACAACTCTTCAGAATGTGTTAAATAATTGTCCGTGTTTCCATTCTTCGAGAAAGTTCTACTTAGTTCGTGCATCAATCTGGTTCACTTCAGACACGAACTGGAGGAATCAATGAGTGGGGCTTGAGTAATTAGGATTTAGACCTGCTGTTTTCGGAAAAACTAATTTATTTCTGAACTAATAAAACTTGTACTCGTTGTAGAGCTCTTAATGGTTAGCCATGGAAGCTGCAACCAAACATTGGGCACGGATTTCATGCGGTGACAATGTACTTAAAGATCATCGTTGACACAGTGGGATTATCCCTAGACACCACTATTATCAAGTGAAAAGCAGGCAGATAGATCAACTAAATCATCGGGCCAACAATACTAGCTCCGTCTATACGCTGGGAAGCAAAAAATATACTAATCTGTGCAGCCCCTTTTTTCGACTATAACGCTTTAGGTCGTGTAACTATCACTTTGACTAGCACAACTCTTCGAAGCTGTGGTTGACTTATCAGCTTCAAGTTTAAATCAACTTGCGTGCCACCCTAGGAACAGTCAGTCTGAGGTCCAGTTTAAAAGACAATTCATATAAGAACAATCAGTAGGTATTTGTCTTGGCTATACTTGCTTGCTGCAAGGTGCACATGTATTCACAATATAGGGTGCACCGAAACAAACTTGTGCTTCGTCTGCTTGTCCACTAACTATGCGACAATAAAAGTTGCAATGCTATGACTGGAAGCTGCAATTTATTTTTGCCAGATTCTCCACACAACGTGAAATTCCCGGTCTAATTAAACACATCGGGAAGTGAGCAACGGAGGAGAAACACGGACAAGCGTAATTAAAGGATCACTTCTGCGAACGAGTAAAATCAATCTTAGATTAACGAAACTGTTAGGAAAGAACGATAATAAGCTACTGAACATCTGTTCTGTCAAAATGGTTACCACTTGGTGGAGGCATGAAGTGGTTGTGTCGCTGGGTATACGGTATCCGCATATTGTGTCCGCAAATGATCGTTTTTATCACACCCATATGCCTGACCACATCAATCGGTACTCTTGGTGACAAAGATTTACACGTTGTGGATTTGTGTCCCTGGTGAAACGCTATCTCATAGATAGAGAAAATGTCAAGCAAGGGAATGTAAAATTGAACATTCTTGCACCCAGAAAATAAATTAGCAAATGTATTTTTGTTTTATTTAAGCACAATGAAAGGAATGGTACCAAATCAGATTACAATAAAAAGATGAAGAGATATGGTAAAAATCCTCCCTTTCCTTTTGTGTCGAACACATGACGAGACCGGCATCCTACTTTCTTGGAATGGGAGGTTTGAGCAAAGATTCGATTTTTATTTATCAGCAACTGCATACTAATTTCTCTAAACGAGTTCGTAGTGTAGAATATGACTAACGATAATTACCCTAACAAACACCATGTGTTTGCTATTAAAAAGTAATAACCAGCTAGGGCAAGTTACATGGTGCTTTGGGTACTGCACACACTGTTTACACTGGAAGTAGCTCACCATCTCTCAGCCTATCTACATTACAAGAAGAAGCCACGAATCCATGGACTATTCCTCTTATCCATCGTACTATTAGCACATTAATTTGTGAATTTGCTAAAACATTGCCCGCCCCCGGTAGTTAGTGAGCTTTCTGATTTGTGGCTGGATTATTAATGAACCATGGCTCTCCTATAGAAAACGGCACAGCGCCGCAAAACACGTTAGTACGATTGAACGTCAGTTGGTTGACTGAATGTCAATTCCAGTTATGGCCTACCAGCTTTCAAAGGAAATGCATATCTGAAGTTTCAGTATTTACCATTCACTTTGAATGCACTCTTTATCGCGGTCCGCCATCTTAGAAACATCTGTGTTCATGCACTGCTTTTGGCACACCTTTCTGCCGTACGAAACTGTAACTGACTGAATGTCAGCATGCTAGGCCGGCCTGTAAGCTTAAGAATCACAAGCCTGTCTTGTAATCCTAAATTAGCGGGTTCGAGTCTGCGTAGGGCCCGGTTGGCCATCGTAGTATCCTCAGCCAACGCGCGGCTGATGATCGTTATGCGGCAGCGAATTGTAGGTACGGCGTACGGCGTACTCTTGATGCCTTTCTGGTATGGTAGATCTACCTTGTATTTAGTGCCGTTTGGCTCAAAGATTGAAATACCAATAGGTGGGCATTTTCGGAATGCAGTCTCGTTACCGACCAAGTAGCCCAAGTACTGCTCAATTGGATGTGGTAGCTTCTGGAAGCAAATGTTTTGGTGGGTGTGTTTGGCCAAGCATCTGGCCGCGTCAAACATGAGCTCGTCGTGGTCAGACGTTCGGTGGTAACCTTTTTGGAACAGACTATAGATAGGCCAAACTGAGTAGCTTGCGCTTCTGAAAGATGCATACCAGAGGAAGGCGCAGCGGATCTGCCATTGCACAGCCATAGCTCCACATCCATAAGTACAGCTAAAACAAGTGAGAAGTTTACTCAAGTTACTTTAGCTTCGGTGCAACTAAGTGAAACAACAGGAACGCCCATTCAAACGCAAATATCTGCTGTCAATCCGTTTACATGTCCGTAATTTAACATCAGATATTCACTCACCAACTACATATAAAATCGCTCGATCCAATATCCTCTCCTGGCCCCGGTTGACAGGTTCGTAGGCACGACATTCATAGAAACCCCTGTTCAAAGTGTAGGCTTTATTTGCTACAAAGACCACGCTGCTGCGATATTTCAGTCGTCGATCTACGTCGAGTTGTTTGAACACCTTGATCCCCAACTCCGGTTTACTTACCAACTGTGCAAAGGACTGCGCAAATCGGTGTACCGGAAATGAATTGTTCCTTCTGCTTAGAGCGGAGTTGTTGCCGAAAGCATTCGAATGGTTTTTCACCAATACTTCATCATAAGAAACCTCAGGACGGAACCAATCGACAGCCACATTTGGGGCATTTTGGTGACTCACTCCCACCGAACAAGTGAGATTGAAGGCGTAGCCAAGACGAATCATTGATGGTGCTTCAATGTGTACTGCAATATTTAAAATCGTATGTTCATCGGTGTAACATATGTCGAAAGAAGCAGTTTTGTCATACCAGTACGGAATACCAAAATATTAGATAAAAACAATAAAGGTGAGGCACATTTTATAAGTCAAGTGACATCCAAGCTGATAACGGAACAGATACGACAGGCACTGCACAACTTGTGCGTTGTGTTAGTTAGCCGTCAGTTTTCAAATCAGCTACCAAACAACGCTGTGAAATCGGTAAGTTTTAATAATTTGCTTCAGCTAGCCTCGCTTGCATGCTATGTTTTACTGCTAAAATATTAACCGCAAGATTTCAGTTTATTATACCCAGGGGACCCCAAGAAATTTCCCGCTGCTCACCATAAGCAGGTGATACATAAACTGCCTCTTCGATCGAACTGGTCTAGAATGCTAATCCTGTCCACCTGACAAAAAGCAAGCTGTTTGGAGCCGATTGCTAAGTGACCTTACTCTTCTCATTAGTGTAACAAATTCTTTACATAAATCTGAATCTACCAAATGCATCACGAAAGTTAACAGAGAAAATAATCAGGTTAGAAAGTGTAAAGTTGCACTAAGAGCTAAAAACGGACTACATTTGAGACACAAGAATCCGACTGAATAAAAGCTACTTTACCGTATATCTGTCCAAAGAAATAGACATGTTATTTGATTTCCGAACATCATATTTGCATACACTGAAAGATACTGAGACAACCGAAGAATTTCTCTATCGGCTAACACTATTCCAGCTACTTCAACATTTACCATTCAAACGATCTGGACCAGAAGCGACCTAACAGCCGCCAATTCTGTTAGTCCGAGTTAATGTGATAGTATAAATCGAAGGTGGAATACAAAATATTGCATTGACGGTTGCTACATCATAGTGTTCTCTGTATGGTTTCAGGATGAAAGAGGCCACAAATTGCTGCAGAACTGCTCGCATACCGATTTTTAACAATTTTTGCGGAACGTTGACTATGGGATTCAATTCTACCGTTATTATTTTGTGTATCTTTCCCTAGAAGGTGCTCTGATTGATGAGTGAACTAGCCTGGTAAATATGCGCTCACTATGCCGAGAATTCCATACAGACTGGGTAAGTGTAAAATGACTGAATACTGTGCCCACACTCGGTCGCTTCATGAACATTTTGGCGGAAAGTGCTATACTAGGTGTGGAGACTTGATGTGTCTTGAACCTCTTGTTATGACGCTGACCAAGTTTCTCATTTCTAGCACATTCGCGGTGGCAAACTTCCACTAATCTGTACGGTTATATGGCATCTTCCGTCTTGTAACGCATGACTATTCCATCTGTACTACTGAAGGGATAATTTATTTTCGTGCAAGTTTATCATTGAGAGGTCCCACTATCGTTCCACAACTACATTCCGAGTAAAAGAAACATTAGTTACACAGATATTAGGGCAGCAGCTGCTTTAAAATCCATGCTCCTTGTATACAATTGAAAAGCTGCCGTAAGCTGACAGTTTTGCAACCCTTCGAAATTGGCGACTAATTAGCAAGGACATCTCATCAGTAGCATGATCAGAATTGTTACAACCACGGATAAAACCAGCGGCATCGTGTAGCTTCTGTGAGTGCACTGCATGAAATAAGCGCTGTTCCCATATGGTAAGGTATGAAAACGCAGCCAGGTTTTGGTGATGGATAAAAGTCGATGAATACCGGAATTCAAAGAATAGTAGGAGATTAGCTACCCTAGGGAGAGAAGAAAGAAAGTAGCCATATAATCAGCATTTGAAAGTACTAAGGATGATTCAGGGTGTAATGGTGGAGGATAACAGTGTCTACACACTCCAGCGTCGACAGATGCCGTCCAGTGTGCACGGTCTGCTAATGGGTTCGGAGTGTATGACCGATTTCGGAAAAAGCCATGATGGCGACGTAACAAGCAGTTGGATACTCAGCAGGTAAACTATGAGTGCTACAACGAAAATGGGTTGAAAGATTTTGGAGAAAACCGAAGTAGTGTAATCGGCCAACAGTTCGCGAAACCTGCACGACTGCTCTTCCAGAAAATGTAGTGATCTTTCCCTACTTCCACATAGGGGGAACGTGAGCCTCACCATGTCGGTGCTGGAAGAACCTGTCTAACGGTTCGGCCAAACTCATTGTAGCAAACCAACGTCGTTGATTGAATGTCATCGGCGCCAAGAGAGATATACTAGCGGAATTATATCAGCCGCTTTAGCTTATCCCTTGCGGTAAGGGAGAAATGTCGAAGCCGTAATGTCGGTACGGTATGCGCAAGAATTATGCCAGATGACACTGCACTTTGGAACGTTCAGGTAACCTTTTGTCAAAACTGTTGGCCGCCTGTTGTGTAATTTGACTATCCGAACGTTTGTGGTTTTAGCAGGAAGTCCGCGCTTGATTCCAAGAATTTCGTTCATGTATCTACAAAGCAGCTAGGTCTTAGAGTATAATATTATCGAAATGTGCCGTCTGTGCTTTACTCTGTTCTTACGAGTGAGTTTTATGTTGTATTACTTTCATGTAGTATAAAGAACCCAAGTATCTTAGCTCAGAGATGCTATGCAAACGCTCCAATTTGAGCCCATCAAGACCATTGGATTCTGAGTCTTGCTCTTTATACAACGGTCACATCTTTTCCAATTGATGTATTTTGACGGTTGATGTGCCTGCCGTTAGCTTGTTAAGCTGATTGTAAAGCTCCTCCAGGCCACGTCAAGTGACTATTGACCTGGGAAGGATCAGCTAGTTTTGCCAATGAGTTCAGATGGATTATCAGAATTGGTTACAACGTGAGATTCCTCAGTGCGTTCTTCTGTTGGACGGGATCGCGTTTGATATTCGCTCACAGCTAGATACTTTGACATTCGCGACTGCCCCGTTAGGTGCTTGTGTTGGACACACATACAACAGTCGTTCGGAGTTAAACTGCTCACCATTAATGAAGATGTCTTTTCTTGTAGTTGACTTAATGATCTATTGGTCATTATGCGTTACGGTTGCTCAGCTTTGTCATCTTTTCAATGCAGCTCAACCATAGCGTTGATGTTTTTGATTCCCATTGGGAGTGGGTTTTGTTACAGTCAGACGTTATAATAGATCGGTGACGGCATTTCAGTTTGCGAACCATGACGGACCCTCTAGAATTTCTTCAAGGAATGCAGTCCAGACTGCAAACATAGTTTGAGGCGTCACAACAACGTTCGATTGAGACATCGACAGCATGAATATCGTTAAAGTCAGCATCTACGGATTCAACGGTTTCCACTGCAAGAAAGCTGGCGCACATTATGGCAGCATTTCATTATCAGCCGGACAATGCTCTCACTTTCGAAGTATAGTTTCGCCGCTTTAAAGACTAGTTATTGACCCATTGATCTTTGTGCATCCCGGTTGCTCAGCTTTAGCAGTTTTGCGATACAGCACGACCAGCTCGGTGACATTCTCGCTGCCCGTTCAGAGTAGGTTCTGTTAAAGTCGGACGTTGTAATATATTAACGTTATTCTGTCCACCATATATAGCGGAACAGCAACATTGCAGGTTTGCAGTTGCCAATTTGTATCCATCATTACTAAATCCACCATGAGTCCTTCGCTGGTAGACGCGCGGTTCAAGATATTATGTTTGTTTCCTGTCATGAACCAAGTTAGCAGAGCGACATGGTTGAACAGTTGATAACCAGCTATTGGCTCCTAAAGTTTCACTTAGAATTGCTCACGGAGGCTGCCTAGAGCTCCTGGGGCGTGCTGAATGCAGTCCGCTACCAGCAGAAGGTGACTATAATTCCATGGCATAGGCTCTCCATAGAAGAAGCTAGACATAGTTAATTTCTGACGTTTATATTGATTGACGTTGTAGGCGACACCGAAACGAATCAACAGCTTGAATTCTGTGTCGTTAACCAGGTGTATGTGGGGGTCAGAGTAGTGGTAATTAACCACACCGCCTCCATAGGTTGTAAATCAAAGCGAGCAGTGGCGTGCGAGATAGATTAATCTCAGTGACCTTCATAGAGTTGGCACTGAACTACCCGAGTATGCACTTAAAAATGTGCTAGTTATTTTGGGACTACAAACATAGAACAGTCACATTGTCGCCGCCTTGAAAAGTCACAGAACCGAGCTGTACTGCAGTTAGCCCCCAACAATAGCTTTGGTATCCGCTTCAGTGCTTAAGTGGACGATATTAACCACACGGATAACTGGATTTTTATTCTAAAATTTATTTGTTTCTGGCATAACGCTAGTTACCCTCTCGTTGAGAGAAAAACTAGTGTAAATGTTACTTATGAGGAATTTCGTTAAGCCATTTAGATGGTAACTGCTGAGCTCAAGGTTATCCCCACACAGGCGTGACGTGCGTGCTCCTGGTTCATTCGGATTATTCATCTCCATCCTCTCTCCATATTCTCGCAGCGTTGTCGCTGTACGCGCATTCCAACCGGATTTACCAGCCCTACACAGTGATCCATCATATGTGAAAATATCTACGATTAGAGTCTGGACCATCACTAACCATTTTCACTGGCATCCGTGATTAAGCGCAAGCGGTTAACTCAATCACATTGGGCCGATTGCATTTCTGTGTAACACAACCCGATACAGAATTCTCCAGACAGTCCGAAAAGCCTAAGCTTATTCCGATCCAACGTTACTCAACACAGTTGTGGAAGAATCTGTGATCTTCCAATCTGTATTCAGCGCTGGGTTCAGATTCATTTGACAACTTCCACTCACTCGTCATTCCTTGTGCCCCTGTCGGCCAGTGCGCCTGCATAACCCGTCACACGGACCACGCGACCACGCCGACCGCTCATTTTACCTTGCAACCACCGCCATCGCTTGACCGATGTTCGTCGCCTACAAAGCTGGAAAAGTACAGAACGCTAACCAGCCCACTGCGGCAGGTAACGGCACCAGGTTGAATGGCAGGATTTCGAATCCGAAAAGGCTCCAATCGAAAGGCATTTGCAGTTAGGAAATTGTCATCTGGATAA